CCCGCCCTCGCGCACTTCCNGCAGGACCTCCACTCGTGGGCCGGGCCTCGCTGTGCTGAAGCTCGACGCGGGCCTGCTGCAGTCCTGGGCCGTGGGGTGGTGGCGCTGGCACCCTTGCCTCCACACCCTCGTCGTCGGCTCTCGCAGGGCCGCGGCGGGGTCGCCGCTGCTCAACCTCCCGGGGGACCTTTTTGCGATGCTGCGCGCGGCCGACGGGGCGCCCGCGCGGGCCTGGACGCTCAAGATCTGGGACCCCCTCACCGTGGGATCGCTCCGCCGGCTCCTCACCCCGGAGGAGCCGCTGAGCTATTTGCAGGGGCTGGTGGTGAACCTCCGCGGCGGATGCGCCCCGGTGGAGCCGGGGGAGCGCCCGTCGGGGGACTTTTCGGACACCATCCTCATCGATGCCGGGCAGTCAAAGTCGTCGAAGACGAAGCGGGTGGTCTCGCCTGGGATGGACGTGGCGGATCTAGTTTTATTCCCTAGTTTAGAGTCAATTACAATAGTAGAGGTGGAGGACTACGCGTTGTTCGCGGTGGGGGTCTTTGCGAGGCTTTTGTCATCAGCACCAAACTTGATAAAGTTCAATATTTGCAATGCTACCCGAGTTTCCTCATCGAATGGAGGAAAGGAAAAAACAAAAGAATAGCGAATGGGTACAAAACTTAGATATATATTTTTTTAATACCTCTAATCGACAGGTCTTTCAACTCTTGGAGATGAATCTATACTCTCATAATTTATTCACCATACTCCGTCCGCATCGGACTATTGATGCTATTCAGCGTTCTATCCAAAGAGGAAAAAGCAAAGACAAAATGCAAATCGAGTAAAGGTATGTGAGCAAAGAATGTTGTGTATGAGAAAGTTTATGTGGAAGAGGAAACCCGCCGATCCATAGATTATTATATATACACACATATATATATATATTGATGTATACTATGTTAAAGTGAATTCATTACATGAGAGGTTTGCTGAAAAGCAAAAAGAACGTGGCTGTTGTACTACACTTTTAATTTTTTATTTCTTCAAAAGAGAAAAAACTCGTGTTATTGAGGATTTTGATAACTGAAACAGCTCATTATATGAGCACTTTCTGTAGTTAATGAGACAAAATATTCATCCTTTTCGCAGTTTTTTAGGGTAGTATTTTATTTATCAAAAGATATATATATACACTTACACTAAAAAAAAAAAACTATATTGTATAGGCACAATTTCCTTTTTAAATAGATATTAGATAAAGAAAGGGAAGTGAGGAGCCTGAAAAAACAAAGCTTAAGGAGTGTTGATTCGCTTTGTCATAGTAATATTTTCCTGATTTTTGTTTAGAGGGTTTTATTTTTATTTTCTTTCCCTTTTTGATCATGGAAATACCTCAAAAAAAGGATGATGTGGATTGCATTGAGTGCTCTGAGTGTGCGGTCCCTGTCGGCACAGACGGCCCTCAGCGTGCGACTCTCCTCCTTCCTTGTCAACATGTCATGCATTTAAGCTGCATTGAATTTGTAAAGCGTTGTATGAAATTAATCAATTCATACGAAGAGGTGAAACCTAGTGGCATTTCGAGTGAAGTGATGCTTTGCCCAGGCTGTCAACAACCCGTGTCGAACACAATTCCGTTGTTCCCATTGGGCGAGGTGCTTTCTCAGCCCTCCGAAGACGCGGAAAACGCGAAAAAGGACTTTGAGCGGATTCATCACGCTCAGAAAATGTACCTCAAGCGGCTTCACCGCACTCTTCATGAGAAGGAGTGCGTAATGCAAATCAGTCGTCAATGCGCAGCACTGCACGCCCAACGGACGGAGCTTTTACGCGATGTCGAGCAGCATAATCAGCTTTTTCCCTCCCTCAAAGCAATGGATGCGGGATCGGACATGAGCATCTCGTTTCGATCGCTCTCTTTTACAAACATGACGACGACGGAGCTGGAGCTTTACCTCATGCAGACCATTCCGGTGCTAAATCAGACCCAAACCACACTGCTGGAAAAGCGGCGGGCCGTGGAAAAGCATAAACGCAGCCTCCTCGCCTTCAAGGAGAAATACCACTCACGGAAAAAGACGATAAAGCTGGCGAAGAAGGGACCTTCAACCTCATTAGACATTCAGGGGCCTGAGGATTGCCCCACCCGGCCTCCCGCGGCATTGCCAAACGTGATTGTAGAATCGACAGGGCGGGAGTCGTTAGGCTCAGCCAATGAGGATCCCGCGCGTACTTCCACGCATTTCTCACCGAATCAAGGCGAGGCGGCTTTCATTGTTGACGTGGATGCGGAATCAATCGCGTCGGAGCGAAAACCTATCATCGCGGAAAGGCGGCGTAATCCTCAGAGAAGTAGTAGTAGTAGTACCCATCCCCAACAACGACCTATGCAAACCGTTTTCGAAGCAGTGATCGTTTCTTCCGGCGAGGAAGAAGATGATAATGAACAAATGGACGTTGAGGGACGTGGGGAAGGCATTCCGACGAATGTATTCACAAATAATCACATATCAGAAGGGGTGGTTAACGACAAAGAACTTACCCCGACAATATTTTTTCCGCGATGGGTGAGTGGACGGGATATGGAGAGGAAAGTGCAGATCAGGCAGCTTCAGCTACTGCCTCGTCGAGAAAACTACCTCTGGCAATCCACTCTTCCATTTTAAATGGATGTGGATAGAAAATTATGATTAGTATAAATATGAGTAAAAAGAGGCAACAAACTTGACATTTTAGTTTTCACTTTTTCTTACTCTTTCATTGTTATGTTTTTTTTCGAAGTTGAAATTACTATAGTATTGATATCGCATGGGTATTAAATAGCAATACGATTATATATTGGTCTTTTTTTCCATTTTTCTTTTAAGCATACTGAAAGAATAAGGTTAACATTTTCTGTGTAATTTAGTTATACTAATGGATAGTTTAAACCTTCCAGCACTTCAGCAAATCAAGGTCAATTTGGTTAAAGAAACGTCTATTATTACACCTTCTTCTTCGGTTGGTTTATCGTTCGTCAGCGAGGAATACACAGTGGTGGAAAAAGGGTTTAATGAGGATACTATTCAGCCTTCGACCAAATACACGGCTTCGTGTATCTTTCCACATCTCATTGGAGTATCAAATTATGAAAAGGAGTTTTTTTCAGTACCCTTCGCCTCCTCAAAGTCTTTGAAAGGCCTGAAATTTAAGCAGCAAATGCTAGAACAGGAGGATGAAAGACACATATTGCAATCTCAGGAGAGCAAGCAACGCGCTTTGCTAGTTATATCGGAAGTCGATGAATATCAAGAACTTTATTATTATTATGAATGCAATTTAATCAAATTAGTTCAAGAAACCAAAATTATTTGTCAGATGGATAAGCGTGCAGGGGAAGAAGCTTATCATCAGAAAGTTATTCAAACTCAAGAAAAAGAGGACTTGAGCAATGAGGAAAAACAATCTCGCGCACACCTAGAAAGAATCGAATTCGATAGTCGTAATTTCCTGAGCTCGATGCGAGATCTTCGAATCCTGGAAATCGAAGCAGAATTGTTAAAAATAAAAGAGCAGAGCGCTGCGACGTTATATTTACAAGCCTTAAACGTCCGCAAGCGTGAGTTGGAAGTTTCTCAAAAGTATTATCGTCCACCCCAGCAATTTTATTTATTATCCACCTCTGACCCCTTTCACGTGGTGGAGATTGATGCCGAGGAAACGGAAAGTAGGCGCCGCACCCAACAACGGGAGGCCCATCGCGTGCTTTACACCCTTTCCGAGGAAGAATTCGCCGCCCGACAGCGGCTCTATTATCATCATGGGCTAACTTGGATGCGGTTCGCGTATTTAAAAGGGGCCGCTTTGATCGCCTTACACGAAGAGCCTTTGCTTCGAACGGGTTTGGCGAAACTGTTAGGATTGGGGGCCTGCCAGCCGCGTTTGGGGGCGTTTATTCGCATCCAACGATGGTGGCGTCTTTTGAGGAGCCGGCCGTGGTCGGCGTGGCGTCGGGAGAATTTGAAAAAGGACCTCGCAAAAATGCCTAGACACCATTCGCGATTAAAGTTCAAGGAGGAATCTTCTAACCCCAAAGGACGAAGTTTTACCATTGAGGACGATCTTGTATCCCTATCAAAGGCAGCGGAGCAGTATCGATATGATATTATGATGGATCATTATCTTTATTTATTAGGAGTAAAAATAACGTCCTTCCTGAAGGAGGAACAATATGAGTTTAAACTCGCCCAATTGAATCGCTCGCGGGATTTGACGACGTCTGGTGTGGAAGGAAGTTTAGTGGAATCCGCCACCGAGGATAGTTTTCATGTGCTCTCCCAGAATAGCTTGCTTATTCTTTGTCGACCTCGTTTTGCGCTTCCGTATGATTTATGGAGGCGTACGCGATGGGTTATGGGTTCACTTGATAATTAAACAATAGCGTAAGAAAATTATACAACTACAAAGTGAAAACCCCAGACCCATAGTGGATGAATTCATGCCTGTTGAGGGAATGTTGTAATCTTAATTTTTGGCTACAGTTTCCTTTTTTATTGATTCAAGGCATGAAACGATAATTAGACATTACTGTTAATATTTATAAAGGAAGACGAGCCCCTTGAGTTTACTTTATTGCAATTGACAAAAAATATGTGCGTTCAGACTCATCTGAATGTCGATAGATCTCATGGCACCATGTATTGTTATTTTTTTTATTTTCACCTGAATATAGGGTAGTAGAAAATTATCGATTAACTTCCTATCCAAGCTTTCTAAAATTGATATTTTGCTATTTAGGGAGGTATTATTTGATGTAGTTCGTTAACCCCAATCCTCTTTGACACAATAATAGATTGTTTGATGTTTTTCTGATAAGTAGATATTATCGAAATTGTCGTTTTCTCTTTTTTGTTTATCTGTGTGCTTTTTGATGATCGCTCTTCCGTATTCTGAGAGAAGTCTTCAAATTAACCAATCCATTCCTTTATTTTTGCCTAATTCAAGTTATATCCATACCAATCTTTCTAGTGTTTTCCTTATAATTACAGTTCCTTTTTTTTTAGTGTATCTTTTTTTCCAACCCAACGAGGCCTTTATTATTATTATATTACTATAATTTCCATCATTACCATTATCACTATATTTTTATTGTTACAATTATTATATTCCCATTATATACACACCCATCTGCCTTATTATATATTGATATCCCTTGATTTGGGCAAGTTTTAACCACCCCCCCAACCGACCTCCCCCGTTCATCATGCTCAAGGAGTTCGAAGGGGCGATTGGGATTGACCTCGGCACGACCTACTCCTGCGTCGCCGTCTTCCTCCACGACCAGGTCCAGGTCATCCCAAACGACCAGGGCAATCGCACCTCCCCATCCTACGTGGCCTTCCAACACGACGAGGTCATTGTCGGGGATGGGGCAAAGAACCTCAGCGCGCGAGGGGCCTCAAGCGTCATTTTCGACGCCAAGCGCCTGATCGGGATGCGGCTGAGCGAGAAGACAGTCCAGGAGGACTGCCAACGCTGGCCCTTTGTCATCTCTGACGGCGGCAAAGGCGACGACAAGCCGCGCATCCACGTCGAGTTCAAGGGCGAGTCGCTCCAGCTCGACCCGGTTGAGGTCTCCGCGCGCGTCTTGGCCTATTTGAAGACCTGCGCGGAGTCGTACCTTGGGAAGCAGGTGAAGAAAGCGGTGATCACGGTTCCTGCGTACTTCAACGACTCGCAGCGTCAGGCCACCAAGGACGCCGGTGTGATTGCTGGGCTTGAGGTGCTGCGCATCATCAACGAGCCGACGGCTGCGGCGTTGTCCTACGGGATTGGCGTGAACTCCGGGGCGAAGCCCTCCCAAAGCGATGGAAAGCCACTGAACGCGCTGGTTTTTGACTTCGGCGGCGGCACGTTCGACGTTTCGATCATCACAATCGATATGGGGAGCTTCGCGGTGCGCGCAACCGGCGGGGATACCCATCTTGGTGGGCAGGACATGGATTTTAATCTTCTCGCGTACATTACCGGGGACCTGGAAAAGCGCCATGGGGTGCATTTGTTCGATCAACATCCTCGGCAAATGGCACGAGCGCGAGCGGCCTGTGAGGTTGTCAAAAAGACGCTCTCCCACAGCACATCCGAGGAGCTTGTGCTGGATGGCTTGCTGCCTGGAGGGGATGAGTACACCCTGAGAATCACTCGCGCGAAGTTGGAGGAGCTGAATGAAAAGATTTTTGACAAATGCATCAGCGTCGTAAAGCACGTTCTCAAAGATGCCGCCATGACGGTGGAGGATATTAATGAAATTATCATGGTTGGCGGGAGCTCCCGAATCCCCAAGCTCCATAACCTCCTTAAGGATCTTTTTAAATGCAATATGCTCTGTAATTCTGTCCATCCGGACGAGGCGGTTGCTATCGGAGCGGCAATTCAAGCAAGTATTCTGAGCAATTCGACCGAACAACAATCCGAGAGAACGGAAGCGGTGGTTTTGATGGATGTCGTTCCCCTTTCCATTGGCGTCGAGGTCGATAACGGGAAGCTTGACGTCCTTATCCCGCGTAATACGACCATCCCGTACAAGATCAAAAAGGAATACAGCACCGTCGAGGATTACCAAACCGACGTTGATATCCAAGTTTTCGAGGGCGAGCGCCCGCTCACGCGGCATAATCATAAGCTCGGCGAGTTTTCACTCGAGGGCATTACCAAAGCAAAGAAAGGCCATCCGACCATTACCGTAACCTTCTCAATCGACGCGGATGGTCTGCTCACTGTCAGCGCAACTGAAGCCCTCGCGAATAAAACGAAAAGCCTTGTTGTGCAAAATTCCGAACGACTTTCCGGAGAGGAAGTGATGGCGATGGTTGAGGCTTCGAAGAAATTCCAGGGTGAGGATACCCTTTCCCTCGCCAAAACCAAAGTCTCTGCGCGGGTTAGCGATGCCCTTGCGAAGCTAAAAGAGAAAGTTACGAGTTCAAAGGAGCCACCCTCTGACAATCTACAAAAGAGGCTTGATTTTATTCAACATGCCGAGGAATGGCTGAGCCGGAGTCTTCCGAATTACACGGATTTGGAGTCGCTGAAATCAAAGTCCGAAAAAATTATGCAGCTTATTAATAAAGGCATGAAGCGCGCCCGTCCTGAGAAAAATGGATCGCAAGAAGGTAATCGAAAGTCTGAACGGCGTGAATCGGACAGTGAGGATTCACAAAATGCAGAGGAAGAGGAAAAGGAAGAAGAGAAAGAGGAGGACGAAAAGGAGGAAGAAGAGAAAGAAGAAGAAGAGAAGGAGGAAGAACCGAAAGAGGAGGAGAAGGAGGAAGAAGAAGAGGAAAAGGAAGAAGAGAAGGAAGAAGAGGAGAAGGAGGAAGAAAGCAGTGCTAGCGATGAATCTGAAAAGGACGACTGAATACTTGTATCTTGTGCTCTTTCTTCTTGATGTCGCTTTAATTGAATATTCTGAATTTTCCTTTTTTATTGTATTTTATTTTTCTAAATTAAAACAGAGAGTGGAGGGTTAGTTTCTTAAACTATGTTATTTATGTGTACAAACAGGATATTGGAACATAAAAGAATTATTCTTATCTTTTTTAATGTGATATGGAGTTCCAAGATATTTTTAGCACTTACCAAATCGAACAGAAATCAATATTTTCACAGTTAATAATTTGTATTTCCTGTAAATGCGCTATGTGATCGTGATGTCCTCTTCAGTGGTTGATATTTTCTTTGCATTTTTTTTAAACCGCCTTACTTTGTAGTGTCATCCTAAGGTTCTTAACTTTCCATTACGTCACGAACTCTTAAAGATCATTCAATCTATCATAAGTAAATCCACATCACCCACAGGGAGCCCTGAAGGATAGACCTAATCATTGCAGTAGTAATACCTAATGAGGACCAAACCATCTCATTCCAAGCCCGCTTGCAAGGAGGAAAAGGTCCATCGAAAGCGGCCTGTCCAAAAGTCTCATTCCTCCGCATCGGTGATAGTTAAAGACGACAGCTCATCCTCAACGAAGGGGGAGGAGCTTAAGAAGACGATAACTAGTGCGATTTATGGCGCTTATCAGGAAAATCGCGGTCTCCATCCCGGCATGGAAGAGATTGATATATACGGAAAAGGCAGTCCAACGGATCGTCTGCAGTTTGGTTATGCTCCCGCCATCGCAGAGGAGGCGATCGCATTCCATTCACGGTATACCGCGCGAAAGTGGATCGAGGCGCGGCGAGACCTCGGCCGCCTTGCATTTGTAAAAAAACAGAAGCTTCCAAAAACGAATTGCGAACCGATTACTTCTTTATTAAAGTTGAAGAACTACTGGAATCGTCTGGAGGAGTTCAACACAAGTCTGCGTGGAGGCCACTTCAACGCTCAGGAGGCCGATAATTTGCTTGAAATACTCGCCTCGCGGCAGCGTGTTGATAATCAAAATAATTGAGAAGACATCTTTGATGGGGAATATTCTAGAAAAGGTAGAAAAGTATGTCATACGATTAATACGATGCGCAGATGGTATAAACAAGGTAAAACACCTCTACTAAACATATACTAAATTTCTGAGCTTTTCTTCTTTTTATGCAGGGGGAGCCTCTATGGTACATGAACCAGCATTATTTTCATTATTATTGATTTTTGAATTTTTATTTAGTATTGGAGTCTAAATAACCTTGTAGAGTCTAAGAATTTCAGCGAACGTTATCCTTTATACAATTTAGCGCCCTTCTACTCTCATATATATATAGAGAGAGAGAGAGACATAAGTCTGATGTTTTAAGGATCCTATTGAGTATCGATGAGTTCTTTAGACTTAGTGCATGGGAAAAGCAGCACGGCGAGCCCTACGATGGGATCCCCGGAGAAGCCCGAGAAGCCGGTTTTGCGCATTAAATTCCCCCCAATGAAGGATCGCGAGGAGATCCTTCGCAATCAGCGGGCCGACCTCCCCGATAGCAGCGTGCGGGATTCCCTCGAAGGGGAGATTCCGCCCATGATTCGCAGCCTTTTGGAGCTCTCGAATTTGTTTGTGAGCGTGCATAGCCAATATTTCCGAGCCGCCCCCGGGTACGCCGGGGGGATTTTCTACCACGGCTCTCCTTATTGTTTTGCCTCCGGTTTCCGCGATGGCTCGCTGTCGAAGGATCCTGACGATAAGGAAAATTCTATGCGGCTGAAAGATCCCCTGACCTACGGCGTCCTTTCCCTTCCGATCACCGCCGCCTATTTGTGTGAACTTCATGGGAAAAACCTCTTTGATCTGACGCGGCCACTCGTGGAGTATTTGCCAGATCTTCAGGGCAAATTATCGCCGGAGGCCACCGCGCGGAGTATTCTTTCCTTCACCACGGTAATCGAGGAAGGGGGGATTTTAAAAGATGCGAGGGTGAGCCGGTTTACGCCGTTCGCGGCGTGGAATATCTGCGAGGCGGTGGCGAGGCGGGTGTATGACCCGTTAAATCGCTTTTTCGCAGGCGGGCAGGCCGGGCTGCTGAGTGGGCGTCAACAGCGCGAAAATCTGGTTCAGTACCTTCGCTCCTCAACGCGGTTTGGCGGGCTGGTTCGCCGTCCACTCCGACATGCGCGCGTGAGCCATTTTTCCATTGCCCTCTTGATTGCCGCTGTGGAGACGCAATTAAAGGGCCGCAGCTTCGAGGATTCGATTCGCGAGCACTTTTTCGAGCCTGCGCAGTCGCACTCCGCGGGCTACGGCCCACCCGCGTTGTGGAAAGACCCCAACGAGATCTTTTACCAGGCTAGAAGTCTTCCCAAGCAGCATCAGGGGTTTCGCAAGGCCATTCCGTTGGGATCGCTTGACAATTGTGGGCCACCCATGCTCAATGCCTCGCTGAACCTCTATAGCCCCGTTGAGGAATATGCAAAGATGCTAATGCTCTCAGTAGATACCATTCAGGACGCGCGGAAAATATTTGGAGCACCTAATCCAACCCACGTCTATTACGACTTTGGTATTCAATTTCTACCACGCCACGAGCAGCTCCACCTGGCGCCTGCATTTTTTTCTGGGTTAGACTTCATTCCCACCGCGGCTTCGTTCCAATATGACGTGAAAATCGATTTAGGTTGCTTCGGTATTTCCTCCTGTGGGAGTCGTAACGCTCGTATATTTGCTGGCTCGATATCGCATATAATCCGGCATCTTTTCCTCAAACATCTACTTCGGAAAGGGGTGGATGTTGAGAAGCCACTGGATTTAGATAACCCAGCAGGCGAGTCAGACAACCCGACGGTGCGCAAGTTTAAAAAAATTACGAAAGATCAGGAGTACAAAACCTACTTCAAGAATCTTGATGCGCATAAAAAGTTTTAATACGATGCATTTTTTTTCAATTTTATCGACCTCTTTTGTTATTCTTAATATTATTTCATTTATGATACTTAAAAAAGACCTTGTGTTTTTTTGATGTACTTGAAGTTTTCTATTTAGCCTGAAAAAGTCTTCACATGGTAACCGAATATTTATTGAAGGGTTTAAGAAGAGCACCATAAACCTTTCGTTTTTGTTACACTGGCCTTGTTGTTCATCACGGTATCGTTTTTGTACCTAGAGCATCTTTGTCGAGGAACGCATAGTTCGAGATTATGGTCTTCTATTAATGTATGTTAGCTTCATCGTTGAGAAAGTAATGTTATTTCTTACGTATTTTCAATTAGCTTAAATATCATTGTGTCATTAAAGGATAGGTTTTGTGGGCCACATTAAAATAAACTTTCATAAATCATACCGATTTGGCATTTTGGGACTACAATAGAGAATATAGAAAAAATACAATACACACTGAAGATATTTAAATGCGCTTTGCTATAAAAAACATTTTTGTAGACAGCATAAGATATGTAGAAGAGAGAAGTTACAGTGATGATCTATATGATAATAAAGGGTTTAAAGCTCAACAGCAGAATAAAATTTGAACATCTTCGTTTGTTGAATTACGTATTATGTGTAATACCTATAGCCAAAACAGACATCAAATTCTATAAAAAGCAGAGTCATTACAAAGGAATTCCAGATATACTATAAAGGACATCAATCAATTAATATTGAAAATTGACAAACGGTGAATTATATCATTAGATCAAATAGGAAATTCTATCCGTGATACCTTTTAAATTAAATGAATTATTGAAATTATATCAATAAAGAGTGACAGAATGCGAATATTATTATTACAAACATATTACTTGCTTTTATCATATAAGCGCAGGAGTTTAACAAATAAAAATGAACATTCTGATAAACATATAATAAATATCTAAAAAAATGACTAAATTAACTATTCCACCATTTTCAAAAAGTAATATAAATAATATATAGTTTCTATTATATCTTACAACCTAAGTAATTCGACTTTCAAATTGTTACCATGACCTTTGAGGGAGCTATTGGCATTGATCTGGGCACGACGTACTCATGCGTAGGTGTGTGGCAAAACGAGCGTGTGGAGATCATCGCGAACGATCAGGGCAACCGAACGACGCCATCCTATGTGGCCTTCACTGATAACGAGAGGCTAATTGGTGATGCTGCCAAGAACCAGGTCGCCATGAACCCGCAAAACACCGTCTTCGACGCGAAGCGCCTCATCGGGCGGAACTTCAAAGACCACTTGGTGCAGCTCGACATGAAGCACTGGCCCTTCAAGGTGGTGACGAAGTGCGACGACAAGCCGCTGATCCAGGTTTCGTTCCACGGCGAGGATAAGACGTTCACACCGGAGGAGATCAGCTCGATGGTGCTGGTGAAGATGAAGGATACGGCGGAGTCGTACCTTGGGAAGCAGGTGAAGAAAGCGGTGATCACGGTTCCTGCGTACTTCAACGACTCGCAGCGTCAGGCCACCAAGGACGCCGGTGTGATTGCTGGGCTTGAGGTGCTGCGCATCATCAACGAGCCGACGGCTGCGGCCATCGCGTACGGCCTCGACAAGTGCACGGAGAGCCAGGAGCTCAACGTCCTCATCTTCGACCTTGGCGGCGGCACGTTCGATGTCACGTTGCTGACGATCGATGGCGGCATCTTCGAAGTGAAGGCAACCGCCGGCGACACCCATCTCGGCGGTGAGGACCTTGACAACCGACTGGTGAACTTCTTCAGCGATGAGTTCAGGCGCAAGAACCGTGGGAAGGATATGTCCTCGAGCCAGCGCTCGCTGCGCCGCCTGCGCACCGCGTGCGAACGCGCCAAGCGCACCCTGTCCTCTGCGACGCAAGCCACCATCGAGATCGACGCGCTCTTCGATAGCATTGACTTCCAGTCCAACATCACCCGTGCCCGCTTCGAGGAGCTGTGCAGCGACCTCTTCCGCAAGACTATCGATCCCGTCGAGCGCGTCCTCCAGGACTCCAAGATGGACAAGCGTGCTGTGCACGAGGTCGTGCTCGTCGGCGGCTCCACACGTATTCCCAAGGTACAGTCGCTGGTCTCCGACTTTTTCGGTGGCAAGGAGCTGAACAAGAGCATCAACCCCGACGAAGCCGTTGCGTACGGTGCGGCCGTGCAGGCGTTCATCCTGACCGGCGGCAAGAGCAAGCAGACGGAGGGCCTGCTGCTGCTGGACGTGACCCCGCTCACGCTCGGGATCGAGACGGCCGGCGGCATCATGACGTCGCTCATCAAGCGCAACATGACGATCCCGACCAAGAAGGGCCAGGTCTTCTCGACGTACCAGGATAACCAGCCCGGCGTGCACATTCAGGTCTTCGAAGGAGAACGTACGATGACGAAGGACTGCCACCTGCTCGGGACCTTCGACCTCTCTGGGATCCCCCCGGCGCCTCGTGGTGTGCCGCAGATCGAGGTCACCTTCGACGTTGACGCCAACGGCATTCTGAACGTGACGGCCGAGGACAAGGGCACCGGCAAGCGCAACCAGATCACCATCACCAATGACAAGGGTCGCCTCAGCAAGGCTGAAATCGAACGGATGGTCAATGATGCCGCCAAGTACGAGGCCGAGGACCAGCTCCAGCGCGACCGCGTCGAGGCGAAGAACGCCCTTGAGAACTATGCCTACTCGATGAAGAACACGATCAGTGACCCTAACGTCGCTGGTAAGCTGGACGAGTCGGACAAGAAGACGATCGACAGCGCTGTGGAGGAGGTGCTGCAGTGGCTTAACAACAACCAAGAGGCCTCCAAGGACGAGTTCGAGGACCGCCGGAAGGAGCTCGAGGGCAAGTGCATGCCCATCATGACCAAGATGTACCAGGGCATGGGAGGAGGTATGCCTGATGGAATGCCCGGTGGGATGCCCGGTGGGATGCCTGGTGGGATGCCCGGTGGTATGCCTGGTGGAATGCCCGGTGGGATGCCTGGTGGGATGCCTGGTGGCGCCTCGAACTTCGCCGATTCCCACGCCCCAAAGGTCGAAGAGGTGGATTAAATATAGATTTCGATAACGAGCGGCACTTTATAAATAGCCGAAACATAATTTAGCACATTACTCTCTCCGTCCAAACCCAAGTATTCTCTAGTCCCCAAGTGCGATTATTATTATTTACTATAAATTATTATTATTATTACAGTCGAATAGTCA